AACGGTGGAGGATGTGGAGGCCGAGCGGCGGCGCCAGGCGGTTACTAGCCCCGGTTTTAGTTTTTCAGCCGCCGGGCTTCTGTTTCCGTACCATCTTGGGGTAGCTCGGCTTCTCATTGAGAAGGGTTATATCAAGGTAATCTGTTCATTAGTATTCATTTCATTTTGGCGATGATTTTACATTGAATTGTTGTGGTGGGAAACTTACTTATGCTTTGACACTGCTATATTTTTCTGAGAGATATTGAGCTTGTTACTCGTGACATTGAAGTTCACATCTTTAACAATGGAAGATTAAATCATGTACTTCGCTCTCTCTAAGTTCGAATCAAACACACTGTTAGCAACTTGCTCACATTTTGATAGGTTGATTGCTGGGCAGTTGTCTTCTTTACTTGTTGTTAATGCTCAATACGAAATTTTTAATGTTCTCCTTTTGGATAACTGCACCTGAAGTTTCTCCTTTTGCTCATTAAATGGTTAAATTATTTAGTTGAAACTACAGAGAATGAACTGAACAGATAGGATTGAAACTAAATGGATGATAAACAAGGCTTGAGCATCTTGATATCTCACTTATTGACTTAGTTGAGAAAATAAAACTCGAATCCATCTTTTATCAGGTTTACTCCAGCAAGCATCAAATGCTCGCTTCTTTTTTTATTTTCAGCAGTATAAAGTGTGTATTTGGAGAAATTTGGTACATTCTTTAGTTCAATATATCTTCCATAACAACTGTGCTACTTTATATTTATTATTTATTTTTCCACTTGTAGCAGGAGACAACACCACTGGCTGGTTCTTCTGCTGGTGCTATTGTGTGTGCGGTGATTGCATCTGGGGCTAGCATGGACGATGCACTTAAAGCTACCAAGATGTTGGCTGAAGATTGTAGGCTTCGTGGGACTGCATTTCGCCTTGGGGTATTGTTACATCCACTACTGGTGTTAACCAAATATAAAAATGAACCCGACTTAATAATTGAAATGGCTTGAGTATAAACCGTAACTCTGGCATGTGATAACAAAACATATAGGATTTGGGACAGGATTACGGGACGAGATTTGGTTAAAGTTCATGGGTTGTTGAACTAGCATGTTTTGAGTTCCTTTTCCTTTAACTTGTGGATAAGCAGAAGAATTTAATAAGTTAGCAGGCCAGATTTTGTTTTGTTTTGCTGTTCCTTGAAGTCCATATTAGTCCATAGTTTTAATCTTAAGGCTATTAACCACATAAGTTTGAGTAAATTCTAGCGTCATTGTAGCACAGACTATAGGCTAAAATCGAGTGTTTTCTTCTGCTCTAGGCTGTGCTTCGAGATATTCTGGAGCAGTTTTTGCCCGATGATGCTCATATGAAGTCCAACGGTAGAGTTCGTGGTGAGTTTGGTTTTTATTTTCCACTGGCACCATTCATTACTAACAGCATTTGTAGGCTGTTTTACTTGTTAATTTGAAGCAGTTGGTTTTCGAGAAAAAAAAAAAAAAAAGAATAATCCAATTATATTCCTATAAACTGGTGATTTTTAAACTTTGACAGATTTGATTCCTTCTATTTATTATGCGTTGTAGGTTGAATATTTAAAAACAATTCAAGAAGAAAAAGTGTTTTATAATTACCTCTATACCCATTCTGTTCCTACTGATTATTAATAACATTTTATGATTTTCAACTTTTCATGACAGTTGCTGTAACCCAGATCTTATGGAGACCGAGGGGTTTACTTGTTGATAAATTCGACTCTAAAGATGATTTGATCAATGCAGTGATCACGTCTTCTTTTATTCCAGGGTAACAAATACTCCCATTAGGACATATTCTACCAATTTAAACTAGGAGAATATAATTAAAGGTACTGGACCTACTGGTTGATTTAATCTAGATATCTTGCTCCAAGGCCAGCAACAATGTTTCGGAATCGGTTATGCGTAGATGGAGGTTTGACTTTGTTCATGCCGCCAACTTCTGCTGCTCGAACGGTATGTTCAGTTGTTTGCATCTCGTAATGAAGATAACTAATGAACTGGGATCAAAAGTACTATGTTTCCAGATGAAAATTTGGGATAAGTACATAAAAAATGAGAACTTTGTTATTAGCCTAATTTTTAGGAAATTAAAGAAGAAGCTCAATTATCATCTGAAATTACCATAACCCTATACAAACACCTCTTGGAGATTTGTATTCTCTGAACAAATAAATTTCCCCCTCGAGCAAAATTGTG